TACGATAACATAACAGATAACAGTAAATCAGGGGAGGTAGTACGATAACATTAAATCAGGGGAGGTAGTACGATAACAGTAAATCAGGGAGGGAGTACGATAACAGTAAATCAGGGGAGGTAGTGCGATAACAGTAAATCAGGGAGTGAGTTCGATAACAGTAAATCAGGGAGTGAGTTCGATAACAGTAAATCAGGGGAGTGAGTTCGATAACAGTAAATCAGGGAGGTAGTACGATAACAGTAAATCAGGGAGGGAGTACGATAACAGTAAATCAGGGAGGGAGTACGATAACAGTAAATCAGGGGAGGTAGTGCGATAACAGTAAATCAGGGAGTGAGTACGATAACAGTAAATCAGGGGAGGTAGTACAAGGGAGTGAGTACGATAACAGTAAATCAGGGAGGGAGTACGATAACAGTAAATCAGGGAGGGAGTACGAGAACAGTAAATCAGTGAGGTAGTACGATCTCAGTAAATCAGGGAGTACGATAACATTAAATCAGGGAGTGAGTACGATAACAGTAAATCAGGGAGGGAGTACGATAACAGTAAATCAGGGAGGGAGTACGATAACAGTAAATCAGGGAGGTAGTACCATAACAGTAAATCAGGGGAGGTAGTACGATAACAGTAAATCAGGGAGGTAGTACGATAACAGTAAATCAGGGGAGGTAGTACCATAACAGTAAATCAGGGGAGGTGGTATGATAGCAGTATATCAGGGAGGTAGTACGATAACAGTAAATCAGGGAGGTAGTACGATAACAGTAAATCAGGGAGAAAGTACGATAACAGTAAATCAGGGGAGGTAGTACGATAACAGTAAATCAGGGAGTGAGTTCGATAACAGTAAATCAGGGAGTGAGTTCGATAACAGTAAATCAGAGAGTGAGTACGATAACAGTAAATCAGGGGAGTGAGTACGATAACAGTAAATCAGGTAGTGAGTACGATAACAGTAAATCATTGAGGTAGTACGATCTCAGTAAATCAGGGAGGGAGTACGATCTCAGTAAATCAGGGAGTACGATAACAGTAAATCAGGAAGGGAGTACGATAACAGTAAATCAGGAAGGGAGTACGATAACAGTAAATCAGGAAGGGAGTACGATCACATGAGGAAATTCAGGTCCATTAATTATTAAGCGTAATATCATTCACCATAAAGTTGGTGTGCCAATTTTGTCTTCCGTCCTTTTAGAGTTGTATTCTATACTACATTTAACATTTAAACCTAAACATTTCATCCAATTATCCGTTACCTAACTTCACACCTGGAATATATTGATAGACATGTACAGATGTACGAACAGAAAAATCCACAATATCTTTGGAATAGATAAGGAAGTAAATCTGAAATAACTTATAAACTCTTACGTCATAATGCACCAAAATTATTTCTTCCTTGAAGAAGTCGCCAAAATCCGATAACAAAATCATTATGATAAAACATTGTTTATTTCTACAACGACTTTGAAATAAGCTTATATTAATCGCTCATGTTGGATGGAATCGCGAGAGGTCTTACTGAGAGAGAAAAGCGAAGTAATCGAGGAAAACCCACGTGGTAATTACTTTTTCTTGTCAGATAAAGGAGTCGAACACCGGTCACCTGTGTGAAAAGCAAATGTTAAACCACTGCGCTATGTGATCATGTAAGAATAAAAACGAATCAAATAAAAGAAAAAGGCTTAGATAAAAAAATTCGTTAAATCCCTTACCTTTAACAGTTCGGGACTTCTGAAATCCTTTTCTAGTACCGCTCACATATACAAATATAGAAAAGACAAGGATGATTAATGTTAACTTCATATTGACCACTTGTCTGTAATATCGTGTCGTTCTGGTGACCAGCGCCCGCACTGACAACTAAATTAAGATAGTTACAGTCTATATAATCTGTCAAATAAGCCGGAAGCAAGATGTGGTCAGTGAACGGATAGAAATTACTGATCTATCAGTCCCGTGGCTATATTTCGGTTGAATGGTCAGTTTAAAATCGTGATAAACATTTTATTTCGGACACCCTGACGTCACACTCTCAAAATCTAAACAGAGACAATGTATTTCGTGACACTGTCCCGTGTGTCTTCAGTGTTGGTGTACCCGACCGAGACTATCTCCCAGGTCCCACAGCAATTTCAAAACTACGAAAACAAGAATAGACGAAATTTAGCATCATCATCATATCCGTGTTATACGCCTTCTCAGTCGGATCCGACCCAAGTTGTTTTCAAGGAGGCATAGATATTTTAATTTGATTTTGTTTTGATTTTAACAACTTAATGCAAATAAATATTTACAACAGAATTGGACACAGGTTTTTACAATTTACTTCAAAATACAATGATACAAGCAATAAATTAATAGTGTATTTTCAGCAATATAATCGATAATATCGTGAAATTGACAGGTGGGAGAAGACGTATTAATGATCTTAACTTTGATTTCTTTCCACGGAGGGTCAGTATTTCTGTTGGTCACTATGGCGCGTTACAACGAGTCATGTATATTACGTCAATATTCAGAACGAAAGACTTTTTTTCATCTTTTGTGTTATCTACGCTGAAATACTAAGCAATACTTAGCGAAATTTAAAATAATAAAGTTTGTAAAACGCTATGAAGGCGTATTCAATAATATACCAATATACCAATAAATAAACTTGAGTGCAGTTCTGCAGACAACACGTACACACGTGTCTAGCGACAGAGAATGAACAAATCTGGATACGATTCAATACATAACCATTATGACATCAGTGGTGTCTTTACAACTACATGCCGTACATTCACCTGTTATCCAGAGTGAAAAAAAAATCATGAGAGGGATCGATTGGTCTTTACTTGTCCTTTAAAAGTTGGATTTTTGCTGCTTATCTTTTTCCTTCCTCTGTTTTTAGTAAGAATTACATGACAAAAGTGATAATAACCTTTTAACTGTCAAATCCAAGATGGTGGCTGTCGGCCGATTCGTTTTCCTGGTCAGTCTCAAAATTTAAAGGGCTCAATTAGAGAACAGGGAAACCTACATATACAAATTTGAGAAGAAATAGTGATAGCGTCGGAAGGAAGAAGGACAGACCACTGCGCGTGCCGATTTCAACAGTAGGTCAGTTCACGTTGTCAGTCGATAGCATAAAGGCAAAGTCGAGGATTCTGATCAAAAGAAAATATCGAAGATGCGGGTCAAAGCCAAGGTCGTGGAAAGCGATCAAAGACCAAGGTCATAGGCAGTGAGCAAAGGCCAAGGTCTAGGGTTGGGATTAAAGGCAAAGGTCGTGAGTAGCACTAAAAAGTCTGGGTCGTCGGTAAGGTTAAAAGGCCAAAGATAAGGACAAAGGTCAAGAGTGAAGACGCAAGAAGGAATTAAAGGGTATGGTTGTAAATGAGACGTAATCAAAGGTAAATGTGGAAAGTTATGATCAAAGTGCAAGGTCTCCGCAATGGATCAAATGCCAAGGTCGTTGGTAGAGGTCGTGAATCAAGTTCGTTGCCAAGGAAAAGACAAGGACCTGGATGGAAATAAATGAGTGTCGTCGAAGTCCTTGTATAGAAACAGGACTTATTATTACCATGTACTGACAGAACAGAGACAAGACTTACTATCACCTTGTACTGACAGTATAGAGACAAGAATTACTATCACCCTGTTCTGACAGTACAGAGACAAGACTTACTATCACCCTGTACTGACAGTATAGAGACAAAAATTACTATCACCCTGTACTGACAGTATAGAGACAAGAATTACTATCACCCTGTACTGACAGAACAGAGACAAGACTTACTATAACCTTGTACTGACAGTATAGAGACAAGACTTACTATCACCCTGTGCTGACAGTATAGAGACAAGACTTACTATCATCTTGTACTGACAGTATAGAGACAAGACTTACTATCACCCTGTGCTGACAGAACAGAGACAAGACTTACCATCACCCTGTACTGACAGTATAGAGACAAGAATTACTATCACCTTGTACTGACAGTACAGAGACAAGACTTACCATCACCCTGTACTGGCAGTATAGAGACAAGAATTACTATCACATTGTACTGACAGTATAGAGACAAGACTTACTATCACCCTGTGCTGACAGTACAGAGACAAGACTTACTATCACCCTGTACTGACAGTATAGAGACAAGACTTACTATCACCTTGTGCTGACAGTATATAGACAAGACTTACTATCACCCTGTACTGACAGTATAGAGACAAGACTTACTATAACCTTGTACTGACAGTATAGAGACAAGACTTACTATCATCCTGTACTGACAGTATAGAGACAAGACTTACTATCACCCTGTACTGACAGTACAGAGACAAGACTTACTATCATCTTGTACTGACAGTATAGAGACAAGACTTACTATCACCCTGTTCTGACAGTATAGAGACAAGACTTACTATCACCCTGTTCTGACAGTATAGAGACAAGACTTACTATCACCCTGTACTGACAGTACAGAAACAAGACTTACCATCACCCTGTACTGACAGCATAGAGACAAGAATTACTATCACCTTGCACTGACAGTATAGAGACAAGAATTACTATCATCCTGTGCTGACAGTACAGAGACAAGACTTACTATCACCCTGTACTGACAGTATAGAGACAAGACGTACTATCACCCTGTACTGACAGTATAGAGACAAGAATTACTATCATCCTGTGCTGACAGTACAGAGACAAGACTTACTATCACCCTGTACTGACAGTATAGAGACAAGACTTACTATCACCCTGTACTGACAGTATAGAGACAAGACTTACTTTCACCTTTTACTGACAGTATAGAGACAAGACTTACTATCACCCTGTACTGACAGTATAGAGACAAGACTTACTATCACCCTGTACTGACAGTACAGAGACAAGACTTAGTATCACCCTGTACTGACAGCATAGAGACAAGACTTACTTTCACCTTTTACTGACAGTATAGAGAAAAGACTGGAAGTAAATTAAAAGAAAGATGATATGAATATTTGATGACATTTATTTGAAGCAATCATAAAATACTTTACAATATTTTCACAATACTGCATAAATCTATGACCTTTGTTTCCTGTTTAAATGCTCTTTGTGAAATGTCAATCAAAGGTGATAACAGAAACTGGTATGATGTACATGGATGTAACTCACCTGAATATGACTAAAATGAAATGGACAAATTTCTTAACTGGAACAAGGATGTTGAATTTTCAATAAATAACAAATTCCAAATTTTTACTTTTTTTTTTACAAATAAGACAAATCTAAGGATGTTCTCAGGCGAGAAGTAATATAGAACCTGTATTTCTCATCTGGTTTAGTGTGCTGAATTGTTTCATTAAAACTAAAGGAAACAATTAAAGAGACTTGTATCTTTTAACTTAGTAGACTCCAAAAGGAGTAAAATGCACAATTTATTTAAAGCTGAATCCTTTTCATCCAAGGATTCTTCAGATCTCATTTGGACAAGCAGAATTATTCACATCTATTTCCCCTATTGGGCCCAGCCCTTTCACTGTAGTGGGCCAAAACCCACTATTCATACAAAGTTGATTCCCCTTCAACAAAAGATATTTCAGACCAAATTGGGTAATAATCCATTCATTCCTACAGAAGGAGTAAGATTTTAGGGGATTTCCTAAATTTCTTATATTGGTCCCCACCCTCCCACACCAGGAGGTCAAGACCCAACATTTAAACAAAATTGATTCCCCTTCATCCTTCATCTCCAAGTATGTTTCAGACCAAATTTGGGGAATATTTATTCACGACTACAAAAGGAGAGGGTTTTAAAGAATTTGCTCTGTTTCCCTGACTACGCACTGCCCCCTCCTGCCCCAAGGGGCCAAGATGCACTGTTTAAATAGTACAAATTTCCCTTCGCCTGAGAATGCTTCAGTTCAAATTTAGACAAACTCCAATTATTTCTACAGGAGGGGTAAGGTTTCATAACATTTTCAAGAGGTCCTCCATTGGAACCCGTCCTTCCTGCCATAATGGAGCTGAGACCCATCTTTATTCAAAACTGATTCCACTTCACCAAAGAATATTTCAGACCAAATTCAGTTATAATCCAATTGTTCCCACAGGTGGAGTAGGATTTTACACTATCTTCTCAATTTCATCTTTTAGTCCTCAACCCTCAGGGCTGGTACCAACTGTAATACAATATTTATTTCTTTTCATCAAATAATACTTCAGAGCAAATGTCGGCAATATCCATTAATGCTTAAAGGAAGAATAGGATTTTAAAGAACTTGGGGCCCAGGGGATCAACATCAACCATTTAAATCTAATTCCTTCAACCAAAGATGCTTCTGACCAAATTTGGTAATGTAACAATATGATTGGTGGTTTATAACTTGAAGGAAAAGATGACAGACAACAGACGCTGTGGTATGGCATAAACTCTTCAGTCCTTCAGACCGGGTGAGCTGTAAAAAACAAGAGTGTCAGTAAAACCAATGAGTGCTCCTGAAAACATCTTAATTTGACAAAAAATTTTAACAATTGGTAACAACTAAGTATTTAAGGGGTTTCAGGCACTGAATTTGGTACGTCCTCTTAGTATGAGTAATGCATACACCAAATATACACCCAAGTTTCATTATCTAAGTTTTAATAGAAGCATTTTAAATTATGCATCAGACAAAAACAAAAAAAAAGATGAAATTTACAAAGGGCAACAACTCTGTAATTAAGGAGTTTTAGGCTATGAATTTGATACAATGCACATTTTCTTTGCATGAACAACGAATACACTAATTTTCATTATCCTAGTTTAAATGCAAGCAAAGTTACGGTCGAGACACAAAAAAACACAGAACATAATTACTGAGGGGATGCTGGTCCTTAATTAGGCACACTGCACTTTTTCTTTGCATGACCAATGTATACATCAAGTTTCATGATCCTCAAATAACTGTGGGCAAAGTTATGTTCTGGATACAAAAATTCTAACAAAGGGCCACACCTCTGTAGTTAAGGGTTTGTGGGCTCATTGTACATAGTCTTTGTAGGATCGATGTATACACCAAGTTTCATTATCCTAATCTAAAAGTTATGTCCATGATACAAAATTTTAACAAAGGGCAATAACTCTGTAATTACCATCAGAAGGGATTGAATAACTATGTAATACTTAATAAACAAAGTCATGGCATATTTATATATTATGAGATAAACACTATAACATTACCATAAGGTTATCTATTATAATTTTCTGATAAATCAATATATCATGGTATATGCCAGTAACTACGTTATAAGTTGTAATTTTTATGAATATTCTCCATAACAGATTTTGATATCATAATATTCGTTGTGATATTTTCATTAAATGATATCTTATTGACATTTCAGTAGATAACAGTGGAAAAGAGATGTTCCAGTAAAAAACAGACATCTTTTTCATATCGAAAACTAAAGTGTAAAATCCTTTACAGTGTACAGTACATGACAATGTAAAGCAAAATCCGGTAATACTTCTGTATCTGATAATCAACCATGTCTTTATTTTCAATTCTGCAGAAATGAAAAAAAAAACTGAAATATAAAGAATTCATAGGACTCAGAATTTCTGGTGATTATTTGTTTTAATTAACAATGACAGCGTAATATATTTTTCAATAATTCAATAATTGATTTATATGTAAACAGAGTCAGATATCCTATAATCAGATCAAAAATACCTAACCTAGGTCATAAATTAGACCATACAAAACTATTCTAGGTCATGTATATTAAGTAGACAGTTTAACTAGGTCACATATGAAAATTTGATCATGTATAGAAACTACGAGGTAAGTCACATACGTTTATCTAGGTCACATTTATGCTGGAGTCATATAAAAATCAAAGTGAAAATATCAATACAGGTAAACAAGGTCAGAGAAACACATGATTGTGTATATGGATAAGGTCACACATATGGATAAGGTCACACATATGAATAAGGTCACACACATAGACCAGGTCACACATATGGATAAGGTCACACACATAAACCAGGTCACACATATGAATAAGGTAACAGACATAGACCAGGTCACACATATGGATAAGGTCTCACACATAAACCAGGTCACACATATGAATAAGGTCACACAAATAAACTGCAGTGATGATAAAAGAAATCTTTAATGAGAACTAGTGATGATACAGCTCTCCTATTTTTGACCAAACAGATGGGTGCTTTGAAGTCACTGCATTGAAATTCTCCAATTTTCCTGTTCGGACACAAAGCAAGCTTAGGTTGAATAAGTTTGTTTTCCATCAAATAATTTCCATGTACATTACTGGCTTTCTCTAACTTGGTATATAAAATCAGTTTTGTAAGCGATTCTTAGCAGATAACAGCATAAAATGGTAAAATACCACATAATGCAGCCTATTCACAATGGCGTCGTCTTGTTGTCAAGTTAAACATCAAACTATCTGAAGGTAAAGAGCACACCAATATTTCTTGGACTTTTTTTAACACTGCTTTATTTGATATTTGGAGTCACTTTTCTTTGGTTTTCCTTTAAAAATGTACAAAAAAAAAGTTTAATGGTTTTCAGTTAAATTTCATAAATATTTCTCTTGAATGACATAATGTATCTATATTTTTCACTCGTGAGAAGATTTAGATATTCTGTCATACTTTTGAATTATATAGGATATTAAAGGGGAAACCACTTAATATCATATTCTATATATATCTTAAACTAGGTCATGAATGAGGTTACATACTAAACTAGGTCATGAATATAAGGTCACATATATAAACTAGGTCGTGAATATGAATAAGGTCACATATATAAACTAGGTCGTGAATATGAATAAGGTCACATAAATAAACTAGGTCATGAATATGAAAAATATCATTAACATTACAACTTGTTAACAAACTGGGACGGCTATTGTAGCCATAAAGCATTAAATTCCTGATTTCAAGCTCACCTGTTAGAGAGTTTTCAACATCTTTCCTGAATTAACATTTCAATTACGAAATGCAAATAAGTAATACAATTTTCTGTTTTAAATCCCACAATGTCAGAAAACCATTATATACCACAATGAATCCTGTAGGAAGGGCTACATCACATGGTTCAACTTTATGTGAGCAAAGTTCTCAGGTTACAGATTACAAGTTAAATAAACTTGAAGCACTTTTGTTTGTCATGAGGAAGGCGAGTTTTGAAGAGCACTGAGTCCACCCGATACTGAGTGTATAGCAATGGCATATAACCATATACTTTTACAAAAAAATTAATACACTTGTGGCGTTCATCAAAGTGTGAACTGTCATTAGACAGAGTCCGTGGGCAGCCAGGACAACGAAATGTCCAACGTGAGGTCACCTGTGAAAAACCAAAGTTCAACTGTTATAATTACAAATCTTACATTAAATTATTGTTATACAGATCTAATAAATTTGCATTGTGGTCATAAAAATTGGTTTGCCACAAGAAAATTAAGGTGCCCTAACAAAAAAATGTTGTTTTAAACTGATCCCATTTTCAATAAATCTGTGTTAGTGTGTAAATTGTACACCCAATGATTGTGAGCTACATAGAAATTGATACATAATGCAGAAAATAATCATAAATGTTTAGACAAAGTTGATAACAAAGATGTGCCAAGAAATAAAAGTATGTAGACTTGACTACAAAGGATAATGAGGATCTTGTGGCATTAGAGAACCAACAAAAATGTGAATTTATCTCACAATAAACCCATACCCAGTAATAAGCCCACCCATGTATATTGTAGAAAAGATGCTAATTAAATACGTTGATGATGTTTTCACCCCATTGGAAACCACAAGATAAATAGAGCAATCTACCTTTATCGGCGGTTTCCTTGTGATGTGAGAAACCAAGAAGTTCATGGCAATGTCTTCACAGTTGATAAACTCATCTACTTTATTGCGGATTGCTTGAGGCATGGAGTAGGTGTAGAGATAGGAATAATACTGAAATAGACCATAATGTAGGTGATATCTGAAGTTTAAACAGAAGAAAGATACTGAAACATATTACTGTATTTTACCGCAAATATGCCTCCACACCCAGTTAAAAAAAGACTGTCAAAAGAGGGGAGGGGGCTTATTTGCAGGCAACCCCCCTATTCACGAGATGTACGTGTGTCTGCCATCTTGGATTTTTCATCATAAGGAACGATAACTTGGCCTATCTGTCATCAAAAATAACCCAAAGACGAAAATAGGGCCGATAATTTTATTAACAATATAACAAAATATACTAAATAGCTAATCCTTCGGCCCGAATCCTCCGAATAGGAGAGTCTCGTCATCGGACTCGTCTGAATCAAATAAGATGCTGTGGGCCTGTGTCACATCAAGTTCCTGCTGTAGGACCTCATCGATCTTGCGGAAGTCCATGACGAAGACGGCGTGACATCCTAGACAGTTACAGGCCACACACCTGCCCAGAATACGATGCACATCATCCGTGTTTGGTCCCCACACACGTGTCACTCTTGCGACTTGTCTCCCCTTGGACTGCAGTTGATAACCGGAGACGGCTCGACCCTGAGCGCGTTCCTCAACGAACCAGTCAAACACGGCGTCGTCAATCTTAATGGCCTTGGGTGCTGGGTTAGTGTCAAGCTTCTTCTTCTTGAAGTCTGTTCCTTTTCCATGGCCAAGGAGTTTCTCCAAGTCTCTGTCCCACTGTCTGACGAGTTTCCTGTCGACGGAGAATTCTCGTGTTGTCTGATGGAGATTTCGGCAATTGTCCCGGAACCAGTTGACGATGTCCAACTTCTCCTTTACTGTGTAACGTCTTCGTGTAGCAGGCATGATGATTTGTGTCTTGGTTGGATTTTCACTCTCTATTTAACAGAGACATATATATCACATCTCTGCTATCTAACGACACTGATATGGCTTGGGACTCAACGTGTAAAAGTCTTGTGTTGTTTAAGCGTGTTTTGAGCGAGGCCCTCTCGCTCAGTCGCTGTGATTGTTACCTAATTATCACCAGTTAAAATAACAAAAAAGTGGCCACCTGTAAACACTACAAAAACAAGCCCCTCATAATTACATCTGGCAATTAAATGTAAGTACTGCTTTATCGTCGCGCATGTTGTCTTTTTTTTTTCAAAAAAAAGTGGGGGAAGGGGGGGGAAATTAATTGCAAATACCACCTATTCCTGGCAAATTGGAAAAAGTGGTGGGGGGCTTATTTGCGGTGAAATACGGTATAATGTAGGTCATATCTGAAGTTCAAACAAAGAATGATACTGAAACAGACTATAATGTAGGTCATATCTGAAGTTTAAACATAAGAAAGAAACTGAAACAGACTATAATGTAGATCATATATGAAGTTTAAACAAAGAAAGATACTGAAACAGACTAAAATGTAGCTCATATATGAAGTTTAAAAGAAAGATACTGAAACAGACTATAATGTAGGTCATATCTGAAGTTTAAACATAAGAAAGAAACTGAAACAGACTATAATGTAGATCATATATGAAGTTTAAACAAAGAAAGATACTGAAACAGACTATAATGTAGGTCATATATGAAGTTTAAAAGAAAGATACTGAAACATTTTATAATGTAGACCATATATGAAGTTTAAACACAAGAAAGATACTGAAAAAGACTATAATGTAGGTCAAATATGAGGTTTAAACAAAGAAAGATACTGAAACAGATTATAAAGAAGGTTGCATGTGAAGTATAGAGATTGGAATAGTACTTAAAGGATTTAATGTGTGGCTATTAAATAAAACATAGGTAACCGTGCTTACAATTCGGCTCACTTTTTGGAAGTCGGCAACTTTGAAGTTTGGCTGACATTCAGGTGTGACTAAAGTTGAGTTGGGCTTGACTTTTAGTTGTAGTGAAATTGCAGTGTGGCTGAGACTTGGAGGAGAGGGTGACCTTACTGTGTGGGTGGTGTGGGTGACTTGGAGGAGAGGGTGACCTTACTGTGTGGGTGGTGTGGGTGACTTGGAGGAGAGGGTGACCTTACTGTGTGGGTGGTGTGGGTGACTTGAAGGAGAGGGTGACCTTACTGTGTGGGTGGTGTGGGTGACTGGAAGGAGAGGGTGACCTTACTGTGTGGGTGACTGGAAGGAGAGGGTGAACTTACTGTGTGGGTGGTGTGGGTGACTTGGAGGAGAGGGTGACCTTACTGTGTGGGTGGTGTGGGTGACTTGAAGGAGAGGGTGACCTTACTGTTTGGATGGTGTGGGTGACTTGAAAGAGAGGGTGACCTTACTGTGTGGGTGACTGGAAGGAGAGGGTGACCTTACTGTGTGGGTGGTGTGGGTGACTTGAAGGAGAGGGTGACCTTACTGTGTGGGTGGTGTGGGTGACTTGGAGGAGAGGGTGACCTTACTGTGTGGGTGGTGTGGGTGACTGGAAGGAGAGGGTGACCTTACTGTGTGGGTGGTGTGGGTGACTTGAAGGAGAGGGTGACCTTACTGTGTGGGTGGTGTGGGTGACTGGAAGGAGAGGGTGACCTTACTGTGTGGGTGGTGTGGGTGACTTGAAGGAGAGGGTGACCTTACTGTGTGGGTGGTGTGGGTGACTGGAAGGAGAGGGTGACCTTACTGTGTGGGTGGTGTGGGTGATTTGAAGGAGAGGGTGACCTTACTGTGTGGGTGGTGTAGGTGACTTGAAGGAGAGGGTGACCTTACTATATGGTTAACAAAGAGGTGAGGGCAACTTTACAGTGTGGGTGACTTTGGAATGAGGGTTACTTCGAGGTGAGGGTGACCTTATTGAGTGGGTGACTTTACAGTGTGGTTGATGTAAAGGTGAGGACAACTTTACAGTGTGAGTGACTTTGGAATGAGGGTTACTTGGCCATTAGGGTGACCTTACAGTGTGGGTAACTTGGAGGTGAGGGCGACTTTACAGTGTGAGTGACTTTGGAATGAGGGTTACTTGGCCATTAGGGTGACCTTACAGTGTGGGTAACTTGGAGGTGAGGGCGACTTTACAGTGTGGGTAACTTGATGGTGAGGGTGACTTTACAGTGTGAGTGACTTTGGAATGAGGGTTACTTGGCGGTGAGGGTGACCTTACAGTGTGGGTAACTTGGAGGTGAGGGCGACTTTACAGTGTGGGTAAATTGATGGTGAGGGTGACTTTACAGTGTGAGTGACTTTGGAATGAGGGTAACTTGGCCATTAGGGTGACCTTACAGTTTGGGTAAGTTGGAGGTGAGGGCGACTTTACAGTGTGCGTAACTTGATGGTGAGGGCAACTTTACAGTGTGGGTAACTTGGAGGTGAGGACGACTTTACAGTGTGGGTAATTTGGGGGTGAGGGTGACCTTACAGTGTGGGAACTTGATGGTGAGGGTGACTTTACAGTATGGGTAAGTTGGAGGTGAGGGCGACTTTACAGTGTGCGTAACTTGATGGTGAGGGTGACTTTACAGGGTGGGTAACTTGGAGGTGAGGACGACTTTACAGTGTGGGTAATTTGGGGGTGAGGGTGACCTTACAGGGTGGGAACTTGATGGTGAGGGTGACTTTACAGTGTGGGAACTTGATGGTGAGGGTGACTTTACAGGGTGGGTAACTTGGAGGTGAGGACGACTTTACAGTGTGGGTAATTTGGGGGTGAGGGTGACCTTACAGGGTGGGAACTTGATGGTGAGGGTGACTTTACAGTATGGGTAATTTGGAGGTGAGGGTGACCTTACAGTGAGGGTAACTTGAAGGTGAGGGCGACTTTACAGTGTGGGTAATTTGGAGGTGAGGATGATTTTACAGTGTGAGTGGCATTGGAATGAGGGTTACTTGGCGGTGAGGATGACCTTACAGTGAGGGTAACTTGAAGGTGAGGGTGACCTTACAGTGAGGGTAACTTGAAGGTGAGGGCGACTTTACAGTGTGGGTAATTTGGAGGTGAGGATGATTTTACAGTGTGAGTGGGTTTGGAATGAGGGTTACTTGGCGGTGAGGATGACCTTACAGTGTGGGTAACTTGGAGTTGAGGGTGACCTTACAGTGTTGGTAACTTGGCGGTGAGGGTGACCTTACAGTGTGGGTAACTTGGAGGTGAGGGTGACCTTACAGTGTGGGTAACTTGGAGGTGAGGGCGACTTTATAATGTGGGTAACTTGGAGGTGAGGTTGACTTTAAAAGTTTATATGGCTTTGAGGTTAGGGTGACCTTATGACAACTCCTATTGAGTATGTACAGGTATATTTAACTTACCTTATGAAAGAATGCTGCTCCGGTTAGAACCATTGACAGCTCACAGGAGTAGTTAGAATTGTAGAGCCAGGCGTTGGAGTGTACATCCCAGGCATGGAACCGCCCCGGAAATCCAACAATCCGGTCACGCTCCTCTCTCCATACCCTATAATGTACCTTACATTGTTATTCCATACATGGTGTATCCGCAGACTATTTTGTTGGTAAAATATGAAGTTGTAGTGAAACTTCAGGTATTCAAAGTCACATGATTTAATTTTTTTTTTGTATTCATTATTTTTATTGGATGGCATTTTCTAATGACAAATTACAAACTCGTTCTGACAAAAGACAACATATCTGTAATTTTTCGAGGAAAGTCTTACTTACAACCGTACCAAAAGAAATCAAATAATCAAGATTTGAATCTGCAAACATCTGTCTGACATATAAAGAAAGCTGAATTGCTCTGTTATCCTAAAAGGCCCATTGATTGCTTTATTTTCTGTTACAATATTTATGTTGTATATAACCTCCATGTTTTTCTATCAGTGATCTCTGCGTCTTTTGCTAAAATCTTTTTAGTTTTTGTTATAATCTCTAGGTAAATACAAAAAAAATATAGAGGTAAAAAACATACAGGTAAATACAGAAAAAATATAGAGATTGTAAAGGGATACATAAATACAGAAAAAATATAGAGATCATAAAGGAAAACATACAGGTAAATACAGAAAAAATATAGAGAGTGTAAAGGGAAACATACAGGTAAATACAGAAAAAATATAGAGATTGTAAAGGGAAACATACAGGTAAATACAGAAAAAATATAGAGAGTGTAAAGGGAAACATACAGGTAAATACAGAAAAAATATAGAGATTGTAAAGGGAAACATACAGGTAAATACAGAAAAAATATAGAGATTGTAAAGGAAAACATACAGGTAAATACAGAAAAAATATAGAGAGTGTAAAGGGAAACATACAGGTAAATACAAAAAAAATATAGAGATTGTAAAGGGAAACATACAGGTAAATACAGAAAAAATATAGAGATTGTAAAGGAAAACATACAGGTAAATACAGAAAAAATATAGAGAGTGTAAAGGGAAACATACAGGTAAATACAGAAAAAATATAGAGAATGTAAAGGAAAATATACAGGTAAATACAGAAAAAATATAGAGATTGTAAAGGAAAACATACAGGTACATACAGAAAAAATATAGAGATTGTAAAGGAAAACATACAGGTAAATACAGAAAAAATATAGAGATTGTAAAGGGAAACATACAGGTAAATACAGAAAAAATGTAGAGAGTGTAAAGGAAAACATACAGGTAAATACAGAAAAAATATAGAGAGTGTAAAGGAAAACATACAGGTAAATACAGAAAAAATATAGAGATTGTAAAGGAAAACATACAGGTAAATACAGAAAAAATATAGAGAGTGTAAAGGGAAACATACAGGTAAATACAAAAAAAATATAGAGATTGTAAAGGGAAAAACATACAGGTAAATACAGAAAAAATATAGAGAGTGTAAAGGGAAACATACAGGTAAATACAGGTAAACATACAGGTAAATACAGAAAAAATATAGAGATTGTAAAGGGAAACATACAGGTAAATACAGAAAAAATATAGAGATCATAAAGGAAAACATACAGGTAAATACAGAAAAAATATAGAGATTGTAAAGGGAAACATACAGGTATATACAGAAAAAATATAGAGAGAGAGGTAAATACAGAAAAAATATAGAGATTGTAAAGGGAAACATACAGGTAAATACAGAAAAAATATAGAGAGTGTAAAGGGAACACATACAGGTAAATACAGAAAAAATATAGTAAATACAGAAAAAATATAGAGATTGTAAAGGAAAACATACAGGTAAATACAGAAAAAATATAGAGATTGTAAAGGGAAACATACAGGTAAATACAGAAAAAATATAGAGATAGAGATGTAAAGGAAAACATACAGGTAAATACAGAAAAAATATAGAGAGATTGTAAAGGAAACATACAGGTAAATACAGAAAAAATATAGAGATTGTAAAGGGAAACATACAGGTAAATACAGAAAAAATAAATAGAGATCATAAAGGATACAGGTAAATAAACATACAGGTAAATACAGAAAAAATATAGAGATTGTAAAGGGAAACATACAGGTAAATACAGAAAAAATAAAAGGTAAATACAGAAAAAATATAGAGATCATAAAGGAAAATATACAGGTAAATACAGAAAAAATATAGAGAGTGTAAAGAAAATATAGAGATTGTAAAGGCGGACAGAAAAAATATAGAGAGTGTAAAGGGAAACATACAGGTAAATACAAAAAAAATATAGAGATTGTAAAGGGAAACATACAGGTAAATACAGAAAAAATGTAGAGATTGTAAAGGGTGACATACAGGTAAATACAGAAAAAATATAGAGATCATAAAGGAAAACATACAGGTAAATACAGAAAAAATATAGAGAGTGTAAAGGGAAACATACAGGTAAATACAGAAAAAATATAGAGAGTAAATACAGAAAAAATATAGAGAGTGTAAAGGGAAACATACAGGTAAATACAGAAAAAATATAGAGATTGTAAAGGGAAACATACAGGTAAATACAGAAAAAATATAGAGATCATAAAGGAAAACATACAGGTAAATACAGAAAAAATATAGAGAGTGTAAAGGGAAACATACAGGTAAATACAGAAAAAATATAGAGAGTGTAAAGGGAAACATACAGGTAAATACAGAAAAAATATAGAGATTGTAAAGGGAAACATACAGGTAAATACAGAAAAAATATAGAGAGTGTAAAGGGAAACATACAGGTAAATACAGAAAAAATATAGAGATTGTAAAGGAAAACATACAGGTAAATACAGAAAAAATATAGAGATTGTAAAGTGAAACATAAACATACAGGTAAATACAGAAAAAATGTAGAGATTGTAAAGGGTGACATACAGGTAAATACAGAAAAAATATAGAGATCATAAAGGAAAACATACAGGTAAATACAGAAAAAATATAGAGATTGTAAAGGGAAACATACAGGTAAATACAGAAAAAATATAGAGATTGTAAAGGGAAACATACAGGTAAATACAGAAAAAATATAGAGATCATAAAGGAAAACATACAGGTAAATACAGAAAAAATATAGAGATTGTAAAGGGAAACATACAGGTAAATACAGAAAAAATGTAGAGATCGTATACCTGTATGTCTCTTCTCCTTAAGATTCATGATTTTTTAACTTCTAAAGTGAGGACTATAAAAATATTGCTGTTTTCCAATGCTCTTTCTAGGCAAGTATTTAAATTTCAAGATTAATGCTATATTGATAAGCAAAATTTTAAGTATTGCAAATACCATATCTGTCAAAAACTAATTACCTAAATCCAAATATGATTTCATCATGACGGAGATGGGCATCATCATCTATACTCAAAATGGCCTCTGTTTCTATAGCATCAAAGGGCAAGAAGCGGTTGTTGAGGCTATTTTTGGCAGTTCTGATAACCTGAATGAAACAAAATAAAAAAGAAAAAAAAAAGATACAATTTTTCAATTTGCCATTACTTTCGTATTGTATGTATATATTTTTTAATATATCAATCTAATTTGAAGACATTATTACCTTTACTCTGTGATATACATATTACACACTAAACACACTCACCAATATGGGAACATGTATTTCAGGCCATCTGAGTTCTGGAGAAGGGGCTACTGGGTTATTCCACACAATAAGGACTTTATTGAGGAACGGCAGTCCCTTCAGCCTCTGTATAGCACCAATCAGGACAGCCTCTCGCTCATAGGTCAACATCACAACTGCATCAAAACACATCATTATAAAGAGATGACTATGTAAGGGAGACAATCCATGACTGATTAGGGGAGACAACCCATTAAAGCTCATTAACAACATCTATACTCATATATGAAATGACTTACTTGTAAACTGTTCCCGAGGAATGTTACCTCCTAAGGATTCACTGAATTCCCTTCCAGCTCCCCCTTCACCTTTATTGACCGGCCGGAAGCCATACCCTGACCCTACAATGGACACAAAATTTTCAATACATAACAGGAAATACATAGTAGAACTAAATAAAAAAGCGAACATTATTTGTTGATAACTCGAATGTAGTTGCTTTTTCAACAAGTTAAACTAGGTCAATCAATAATTACATTGTAGCATAAAATATATACATTACAAATATTAATGTTTCAAAACACCAATACATTTAATGAATTTTTAAAATCTCAGTGGGAATAACGGGCATAATTTTTGTCCATAATTCCAGGTTTACTTTCTGATAATTGTCTACACAATAATATTACTATTGATATAATGTACAACATTTTTGTCAACTTAGAACTGTGTATATTTTTCATCTTTGATGCTATGTTTTAACAAGTGTCCTCACTACTAACAAAACCATGTATACTGTTGTATTATACATATTATATATAAATATATGTTGATTTGTTACCTAGGAATTTGGCTTCTGAAGGAAGTATTTCTTCAAATGGCGTGTTTGGGAACATACGTAAAGGATCTCCTGGATGCTGAAACATTTGGTAGGCAACATATTGAGTGAAATTCTGTTTAAATTTGAGGGAGCCAAAAGGATTTTCCAATGGCCCCAGCACCTCATCGGTCTCTGGGTTTGGTTCCGGTCCCTCCAGTTTTAGGGTAAGGAATGTAGTGTTGAAGACACTGGGGGAGGGTACGTCTGGCACTGGTACAGCAGGAATGGTGAGTCTAGTTCGTAGTATGGCTAACACAGTATTGAATATGTTGTAGGATGTACCAAAGTAAGTCTCGTACACAAATCTGCCTTGTCTCCGCATCAGAGCAATATCATTATCTGTATATGTCCTTAAAATGAAATGAACTTCAGCCAAACGAGCCCTCGGAAGAATAATGGCTGCTTTTTTCCAATCTAGGATTTCATCAAACGGTAATTGCATGTAATTGCCTAAAACAACAGGCACTGCCCCATATTTTAAACTCTCATACAAACGAATCTGAAAGACTGCTGTTGATACATAGCTAGTGTTCAATGGTGCAAATATAAGAGCAAATGTTGATTGCACTAGTAAGTCTCGTCGTTCGCTGGCATCCCCACACAAGGCCCACTCACCAATCACTGCACCAGGTACAGGGTTATCACAGGAGAACTGTGTATACTGATCATGATCAGTCGCCTTTTCCATCCCTTTTAAATATTCTACAATAGTTTTTTCAAAGTCTAACTCCTTCTCTTCTTCTTCTCCTTCCTCTATATTATTCACATCATTGATTGATTTTAAGTTACGATTTTGATAATTAACATCATCAGACCCATGACCATTCTCAAACAAATTGTTCAATTCATTAGACTCAATATTCACATTTGAATTCTGATATATCACTGGTTTACTCTGTAAAACACCATTATTATACACACCAACAAATGACAGGAAATATTTCCGTCGGATAGGAGAACACGGTGGAAGATCTTGCCAGATATCTCCGGACACTTTGCCTAAACTGGGTGGGATTAAGACATCAAAATTGGCCCTGTAATTGGTTTCTGTGAAAGCAGTCTGAGCGATGACAGCTCGTCCAGTATTTACGCCACTGAACATGTTGGCATTTCCGGGCTGTCGAAGAATATTCATAATTACATGATTTCTGCCATCTCCATGCCAGTATGGCAAACTATGCAGGGCTTTTTCTAAAGATTTTAAATCAGTGCTTTGAGATTTCGTCTGACCTACAACTGCTACATATATACAGGAAGATGTTGGATCATATGTTCTATACTGATTTTTGCCAAGAATTTCTGATACAGAACTTTCGATAAAAGAATCTATGGTTCCAAAATCTAGAAGTTGTTTTCCAGTGTAAAAATACACAGGGAATCTTGATAGAACAGAACAACGTGAATAGTCAAAACATGAATGCATATGACAAGATACAGAAGATACTGGAGGAACTATGTGAGTATTTGCGTCAGGTCCTAACAGTATTTGTTGAGGAGCTTTTAATATCGGAATGTAACGCTGGTCAAGCTCATCTCTCTCTAGTCGTAGTTGATCCAGACTTAACTGAGTCGTTTTTATATCCTTCTCCAAGTTATCTTTTTCTGCACGTAATTTTTCGATGTCCATGTGATATTTCGATATCTGGGATTGTAATTTCTGACGTTTACTCTCTAAGTCACGTAATTCATTACTAACTGATGTTTTGATCCTGTGTAATTCACTCAACTGTGTTTTCACATCTGTTGTATGAAATGGGTCTTTTCTATCAAGAGGGTTTTTCCGTTTCAGTTTCGGGTCTGGTGTGCCACCATCAACATCACTTGTTATCTTTGAGAGGTAGTAATGGGCTACTAGAGGAGCAGCAATCAAAATAACAAACAGAGTCATGATGAGACGAGAAAGACGTACATGAGTGAGTTTATGAAAAAAGCTATTCCTTTGGTTTACAATACCAGTCACCTCCATTTTGTGTGAGGTTAAAGTCAACACAGCTCTATATACTACATTATTAATGTCTCAGGGATGAAATCACTTGTCACCTTGTGTGTTCCTGTATGTCTCTGTATCATCTCACAAATCCAACCTATCTCCATCCCATGGAAAGTATCCAATGGGACATCAGTAGAGTAAAACATTTCATCCCATGTCTGATTTACACAACAGCAATCTAAACTATTTACTTCCTCTGTGCCTCTGAGACAAGTCTGCAACATGATCCCATCACATAAGTGGGATTGTAGATTCTCATCATATGACTGAAACTGGATCAAATCTCATCATAGAAGTGGAACTACGGGCAGTCATCACAGATCTCAAAGCATATCCTCCTGTGACCAAATAAAGAATACAAATAAATTGTCAAGCACAACAAAAGTATGGCCTGTAACATACTACAAATCACATTCTTTGCTGTATATTTAAGTTATCAGGAAGCTCGGTTGTTCAAAATTATGTTGAATTTTGAATCTATATTTATCTGCTGATGATTAAATCAAGGGAGGAGAACATGCAAGAACAAGGAAAATACACATTCGTGATGAGTACCCAAACCAGGAAACAAACCCAGGTCTCTGGCATGATAATCTACCAACTGAACAGAAGAGACATGCTCTGTCAGCTGAGGGACAGAGACAATATTTAACACTGTATGTAAGTCACATTAACTCACTCCATTTCCACATGTACATATATAAGAGAGTTGATTTTCAATTCTGTATATGTTGTTAACCTAGTTTCTGATTTACATATTAGAATTAATATCATTAGATCTGAGAAGATGCATTGAAACTCTAATTGCAATATGAACTAAAATCTCAGAGGATATACATGTACACACACCCGCGCGCATACACGCACGCACACACACACACACACACACACCCACACACCCACACATATATATATATAATGTTAATACACAAGATGGTGGACTGTACTTACTGGAAAATGAAGATATAAATTCCCTCAAACCATCCTTTCAAATTCAAGGATACTTCCATCAAACCAATCTGCTACATCTGTAGTGGTGTTGCTAGCCGAATGCTTTCATCCTATGAATAAAGTATAACGTTGTCTATTTCACATAAATTTATACGTTTTTTTTTATTTTTAAAGAATTATGCAGTAAAATTTGTACTTGTAAAAAAATAGTTATTTTATCAATGTTATTCATCAGCTTTGATACTCATAATGTTTTCCGTTTCTTTAAATGACTAAACTGTCGCATTCATTTTTAATTCAACAATTCGTCTAATTTTGTCGAGGATTATATTCTCGATTGAACAGCTGTACTGTAAAACCGAACCCATGCCTGTGGCTGTATCAGGGTAAGATCTGATCATCAGCTGCTTCAATGCAGTTGTCTTGTAAAATCATTACGTACAGATGACTGTTGGGTATAAGCTTTTTAAAACGCTGATAAAATTACCAATTATGTACAAAATGGGCTTTCCCTAATAAACTTACACGTTAGGAGTCTTCTGATAAAAAATGTTTCCAAAAATATCTTTTTGGGTCGACGATGTGTTTTCAGCGGAAACTCTTTAAATCTTTCGTGATTCTCTAGACTTTACCATTATAATGTAAATATAATGATGACACGAAAGAAACTCCGAATATAAAAAAAAAACACGACATAATACTTGCAGCTACAATACAAGACCACCATTAATTGTGTGGATTTTTTTATCAGAAGATACATCAACAGTATTTTTCTATTTTTGTCATTCTTAACTGAATTCGTGGAAGGTCTGTTTCACGGTCGGGCAATATTATTTTTTCCATGACAGAAGGGGTCACATGATTTTCCCGGAAGTGTCAGGAACGTGATATCCAAAACAAGGCTAATCAGAAAGTAACAGTTTTGGTGAAGTGATTGACGCACATGGTAAATATGCATTTATCGCATAATGGTTTACACTGTTCCCTGATGTTCTACATCCCGTTAGCCATTTGCTCGATGTTGTTCTGATTGTTTGCATGATGCAGAATTTATATGACTTTGATTCAGTTCAGTATAGTCACATGCCTGTCATAGGATACAGAGATTATTATCTTTCCAATATTTCATTAGTCTCTACGATAACTATAAAATTGTAATTATTCTTTGTGATTATTTCCCTCCGTCGCGGGAAGACCTTGAACACAAAACTCTAAGGACCCAAGTTGGACCATGTTTCGCTTATCAGACTCTGATGGGTTTACGTTGGTGCATGGAACAGTACAGCCCAAACGATGTATCTTATACTTAATGGACTTGTCACAAAAAGTAGTTTTATAATTCGGGATACATTGCTTTATGATCAGGTAACTAAAGCACGGAGCAAAGCAAAAAAATAAATATAAATATCTTTGTAGTAGACTAAAACCATAAACCACTTGAGCAATATTTTTATGGAAACTTAGAATTGTCTTCATAAGATGAAGCTAGTCATTACCAGAGACATATATACGTCTCTGTCATTACCAAACAATTTATTTCCAAGATACTACTGAAAATGCATATCAATGGCTAGTTTTGTTGAACAGAGTTGAAGTAGTTATGTAAGATACAGTTGATGCAAACTATTTACAATCTTGCATTAAACCATAATCACCCAGCTGAAGACACTGGCCTGTACAGGACCCACTTTTCCACCAAAGTTCCAGCTTACACCTGCTATAAAGAAATGTTCTCACAGCACACAGCTAAGTTACAGTTCTAGTGACTGGTATCACTTATTGGCCATGGCAAGCACTCCCAACCCAGACAATTGGGCACTTGTGTATACAGAGTAGGTGTGAACCACCTTGCCTAACACTTTAGGGCAAGAGGATATGTGGGGGTGCCCAAGTCTGGTGATTAAATGGACAGTCAAATACTAATTATCCTGTGACTATAATCAGAGTCTGCCACTTTGAGAAACAAATAATGGTTATAGCTGTCATTCTTTTACATACACAAAGAATTTTTTTACCTGTGAACATTGTATACGTACCTGTCAGTTTTGAACTAACCACCATCTTAGTAAGGTAACATAAAGGAAACAGAAAGTGGAATGAGATCTGAATTTTAGCATATATAGTTAAGAATGTGAAAAAATTGCTAAATGTGTGAGGATAATACTTATTAAAACAATCAATAGGTAATCTTAATTTCATATAACAAGATACCAGAAAGATTCGTGAAAAACAACTTTTAAATGACAAATATCGCATTTTGTAGTATTGAATATAATTTCATTAAGCTGTTTTCTTTTACAAAATTATTGATTATAATCACTATATATAATTATTAAGAAGGATGACAGGATTATAAAAGTTTGACTAAATTTGCATCATAATTTGTTGATGATGTTGTCACTTATTTAAGAATTTCTTGACAAAATAAAGAATGAAGTCCACGTCTTATGACCAGTTTGGGAGTGACCATCAAACTGGGGTCATCCCCGTTTTGGTCACCATGAACCCTTAACAGGTATGGTGGAGGATGAAATGTTAATTGAAGAATGTAGTTCTTGTGAAAAATGAATTGTTTGCATGATAGGGTTCTTCTGACTGAGTTATAAGGAAACTATTAGTAATGTATATGAATCTACAACAGAAAATGTTTGCTATACATTTAAAACCTACAACACTACCACTCCTCAAATAATGGGGACTAATAATGTTGCTCTAATTCATCGACATATATATCATATTATATAATTATGGAAAATTTTGTAAAACCTTTTAATTTTTCTGTGTTTTCCTTTTTTCTTGCAGTCTTCATACTCTGACGATAAGGTGGCAAGCTCCTTTGGCTCGTTTCCAAAGGGCTTTGGCTATGGCCCAGATGAGAATGACACGGAAATACAAGCATCATCATCAGAATACAAACCAAGAATTCTGCTTATGGGGCTAAGAAGGTGAATTGTGAAAATTAATTGATTGAATTAATTGCTGTTGAATGGCATTATATTTGATTTAATCTGATTATACATAACAGGAGAAACGGGTTTAGTCCCCTGTCTTATAAGTGCACTCAATAGTTTATGTAACAAATAACCAACCAAGCCAGTTCTGTAATAACATACTATCTGTGTTTAATGATAGATGTGTATCCAGTTGACCCATAATTAAAGAGGTCAGTCAGTACAAGGTGAAGGTGATATTGTAATGTATTTCACATGACTACAAAATTGAAATATGATAGATATGTGACATTTTGCAAGGCAAGGTTATTTAACACCAGATGCCTTCTTTGGATGTCCTTAGTAAATACTATATCAAAATAAGAAAAATTATTGCCTAATTACCTACCATTTTGTTTTTTGTTTTTTTTTTGCTGACAATAAATAATAATGATATAATTATAAGCATAATTTCTTTAGCTGGATTATATACTGAATGTATCTTTTATCATTTAATTTCTACAGAAGTGGTAAATCTTCCATACAGAAGGTAGTGTTTCACAAAGTGTCACCAAATGAAACCCTCTTCCTAGAAAGTACAAATAAGATCGTTAAAGAAGGTAAGTTTTCAAAACCTAATGATTTTATGTTAACACTTTTTGTGTAAAAACATCAGTTGTACTTTAATATATCATATTTGTTATGTTGAAATTGGAGATAATTTACTGATGTGTGTGATCTATGTAAAATAGGACTTTTTCTGAGGGCTTAATGGGGCAGAATATGGACCCTGATGTCATTTGGATTCATTTCAAGATATGGCCAATGTCTGTCCCTAAATGTACAGTTTACTCTTAAAAAACTTCCTTCCAAAACAATCCATTTTCTTTCCAAAATAAGATATTTATACCCTTTCCCAAATGAGTGAATAATAGTCCTTACTCTTAGATGTAACACTTCAGGCATAAATTTGGATGGATGTGCAGTTATAAAACACTGCAGGTCTCTAAAACTTTGATAAGACTTCTGATAAAAAAAAACAAAAACAAAAATAAAATCAGCAGGTTTATCTTTGGTTCTTACTTACCCTGGTTCAACTGATAAATCAAAGCAAAAATGGACTAGCTTCTAATGCTTCTCATAAGGGTGAATAATTGGTTAAGGATCTTTTGTTAAAGGGAGATAATCATATTTTATGTTTTGTTTATCTCTGCAGATATCACCAATTGCTCATTTGTGAAGTTCCAGGTGTGGGATTTACCAGGCCAGATTGACTTCCATGATTCTATTTATGAAGAATGTGAAGCCATTATATTTGTCATAGATTCACAGGTGTGTAGTCACCTGTTTCTGACATTTATCCCCTGTAGTTTCAAGAGTAATACTCAATCAAAAGATTAATTATCAAATTAGAACCAACAATGTATGTTTGATCAATGAATCTTAACACTTTATGTTTACATGTTGTGCGAGTAATATATATGTTATGTTTGTTACATTTTCTTTATCGAAGATATGGGATGAATATCTAATTGTTGGTTGAATTTAATTGATTTAAACAAAGGTTGAAAATGTATTAATTGATCATGAGGTTTTGGTGTAAGTTTTGTAGAGTTAAAAAGTTACTCAGTATTTGACTGAAGTTGGATTGTATTAACATAAATGATCTCCCCACAGGATGAATACATGGACGCATTGGCCAAACTCAATGCCACTGTATCCAAAGCTCACCGTATCAACCCAGGCATCAAGTTTGAAGTCTTCATCCATAAAGTTGATGGTCTGTCAGATGATCATAAGATTGAAGCCCAGCGGGATATCCATCATAGGGCATCTGATAACCTCGCTGAAGAGGGCCTGGAAAATCTCCACTTAAGGTACACATAAACACGTAGGGTTGAGAAAACATGGAAGAAATTGAATAAACCTAGGTTAAATTCACTTGACACATGTCATCAGACTGAAGTATTGAGTCTTTTCATCAGACTATAGCATTGAGTCATGGCATCAGACTTAGGCATTGAGTCATGTCATCAGACTGGAGCATTGAGTCATGTCATCAGACTATAGCATTGAATCATGTCATCAGACTGAAGCATTGAGTCATGTCATCAGACTATAGCATTGAGTCATGTCATCAGACTGAAGCATTGAGTCATGTCATCATACTGAAGCATTGAGTCATGTCATCAGACTGACGCATTGGGTCATGTCATCAGACTGAAGCATTGAGTCATGTATCAGACTGAAGTATTGAGTCATGTCATCAGACTGAAGTATTGAGTCATGTCATCAGACTGAAGCATTGAGTCATATCATCAGACTGAAGCATTGGGTCATGTCATCAGACTGAAGCATTGATTCATGTCATCAGACTGAAGTATTGAGTCATGTCATCAGACTTAGGTATTGAGTCATATCATCAGACTGAAGTATTGAGTCATGTCATCAGACTGAAGTATTGAGTCATGTCAGCAGACTGTAGCCTGGAGTCATGTCATTAGACTGAGGCATTGAGTTGTGTCATCAGACTGAAGCATTGAGTCATGTCATCAGACTGAAGCATTGAGTCATGTCATCGTACTGAAGCATTGAGTCATGTCATCATACTGAAGCATTGAGCCATGTCATCATACTGAAGCATTGAGTTGTGTCATCAGGCTGAAGCATTGAGTCGTGTCATCAGGCTGAAGCATTGAGTTGTGTCATCAGACTATAGCATTGAGTCATGTCATCAGACTGAAGCCTGGAGTCATGTCATCAGACTGAAGCATTGAGTCTTGTGATCAGACTAAAGCATTGGGTCATGTCATCAGACTGAAGTATTGAGTCATGTCATCAGACTGAAGTATTGAGTCATGTCGTCAGACTGAAGTATTGAGTCATATCATTTGAGTGAAGTATTGAGTCATGTCATCAGACTGAAGCATTGAGTCGTGTCATCAGACTGAAGTATTGAGTCATGTCATTTGAGTGAAGTATTGAGTCATGTCATCAGACTGAAGCATTGAGTCGTGTCATCAGACTGAAGTATTGAGTTGTGTCATCAGACTATAGCATTGAGTCATGTCATCAGATTAGCATTGAGTCATGTCATCAGACTGAAGCATTGAGTCATGTCATCAGACTGAGGCATTGAGTCTTGTTATTTGAGTGGAGTATTGAGTCATATTTTAACATTCATGCAGACCAGATAGTAATGAGAGTCTGTTCAGATACAGCTTAGGACATGTGTAATTAATTATGAGGGGAAAAATAAACTAATTGTTAGATAAAGATATGCTGCATGAAGAGGATATTTTTCACCGCTGTATAGAAGGAGTATTTTAAATATTCTCATGTTTGCATAACCAGACAACAGAAATAATACATTGCATATAATATTGATAGAAGTATTACTTATGGAGAGGCCTTATCACACCATATGTACTATTCTGGATAGGTAGTAGAGACACAATATAACCTACCTTTCCTTTCTTTTTCAGTTTTTATCTTACCAGTATATATGACCACTCCATATTTGAGGCATTTAGCAAAGTTGTACAGAAATTGATTCCCCAACTCCCTGTAATGGAGAACCTGTTAAATATTCTCATTTCTGTAAGTATTTCAAATGACTCTTTAAATATTTGTTTGGTTCATATTTTGCCCTTTTTTTTCTATGAACAACTTGAGTGAATGGATAAGCTAGTATTTTAAATTTTCCTACTTTGCAATCTCCTTGACATTTTCATTGCTATAAGATATGTTTACTAAAAGATTACTGATAATACTACATCGTTCATTTCACTCCAATGATTGTTTACATTACACCCATATTGCAGACAGTTGCTTAAAAGTAACCCTTTTTCTTTCAAAAATGATTTGTTAGCTGTGAATAAGCTTTGAGCAATCATGGCCTGACACATAAAACATTAACACAAAGTCACACATGTGTCTACTCAATAGGGAAGGTTGTTAAAAAATCTTTCATATTTTTCAAAACATTTTTGCTAAAATACATGATAAAGGAATCTTGGATGCGATAGTGTTTCCTTGAAATAGTTGGGTTAATGGAAACAGATGATTTTTTACACCCCTCTCAACAGGTTTGGTCCACATTTTCCCCATAATATAGGGTTTTCCATAATTTTGTTAGTAGTAGGCTGTGTAGTGAAAGTAGGAGGCTGGCCTGCCGTGTACGTGTAGTCGTGTACGGAACATTATTACGGAACTGGATTGGTGTAGGCGTCCAAAAGATCAAAGTAGCCGGTCAAATTGGCCGACAACCGGCTCTTATGGAAAACCCTGATAATATCATAACATCTAGTTATATACTTTATTACAATGGTTATCGATGAATTATAGGGTCAAAGGTCACTTTTACTACTTCCAATGTGGGGAGTTAATTACTGTGGTCAGACTTTCTCCTGTGTATAAATATGTTATTTAAATTGTCTACAAGATGTATGTGATTTTTCATTCCTGTATATAAATACGCTACTTAAATTGTCTACAAGATGTATGTGATTTTTCATTCCTGTATATAAATACGCTACTTAAATTGTCTACAAAATTTCTATGATTTTTCATTCGTGTATATAAATACGCTACTTAAATTGTCTACAAGATGTATGTGATTTTTCATTCCTCTGTATAAATACGCTACTTAAATTGTCTACAAGCCGTATATGATTTTTCATTCCTGTATATAAATACGCTACTTAAATTGTCTACAAGATGTATGTGATTTTTCATTCCTGTATATAAATACCCTACTTAAATTGTCTACAAAATTTCTATGATTTTTCATTCCTCTGTATAAATACGCTACTTAAATTGTCTACAAAATTTATATGATTTTAGTGTGAATTGTTGACATTATTTTTGCTTGAACAGAATTCTGGTATTGAGAAAGCGTTCCTGTTTGATGTGATCAGTAAGATCTACATCGCCACAGATAGTTCACCGGTGGACATGCAGACATATGAAATCTGCTGTGATATGATTGATGTAGTGATAGACATGTCCCATATATATGGGTAAGTAAAAAGGCTCCAAACAATGAATATGTGTTTAATCTAGGTATCAGTGAACATCTCTGTGGTGAAATACATATATAGACATGAGGACATCACTATGGGTATGTCTATATATAGATATGAGGACATTACTATGGGTATATCTATATATAGATATGAGGACATCACTATGGGTATGTCTATATATAGATATGAGGACATCACTATGGTATGTTTATATATAGATATGAGGACACCACTATGGTTAAGCTTTATATCGAGGTGAGAAATCACATCTATTTGGGTATGATTAGTTAGCTGCCATCATCAGATGACAGGCTTTTCAATTTGCTTCTCACCTGTGGTTTGTTGTGCATTTGTCTGTCATGGCAGAGAAGGTATGTGAAGTCTGTAAGGCACTCATTAAAAGGAGATATGAGCTTTCTTTAGGGTACTAATTCTGATATTGGACTGTAGTTAAATTTTCCATGAGAGGAGGAGAGGTGACATATATGTCAGACTGATATTTCTAGTTATATTCTTTATTGACTGTATGAGTAATCAAATATTTCTAAACATTTTTAACTATTATAGTGTAAAAGATGATGCTGCATTTGACACCAAGTCAGCTTCAATAATCAAACTGAACAACGGGACAGTGATGTACTTGAGAGAGGTCAACAGATACCTGGCTCTCGTCTGTATCATGAGGGAGGACAGTTTTGAAAAACAAGGTACTTCATGACTTTATATATTTTGTTTTGTTAGACTCATTATAACAAGCTATTTTCTTTGCCTCATTCACACAAATTAAAATTTTGATCTCTTTCATATGTCTTTTCAACACGTTAAGTTAATATATTCTATTTTTTCTCATTTGAATAACTTTTTCACTTGATTACATTCTAAAAAGCTTAAACACCATGAAGTTTATTTGATTAGTGTTCCAAAATTTATTTTTAGTCGAGTAAAACATTTCATCCCATGTCTGATTTCCACAACAGCAATCTAAACTCTTTACTTCCACTATGCTTCTGAGACAAGTCTGCAACATGATCCCATCACATAAGTGGGACTGTAGATTCTCATCACATTAATGATATCCTATTCAAAGACTACTTTCACTGACAACAACTTCCTGTATAGAAAAAAATATTGTTCTCTTTTTCAGGTGTGATAGATTACAACTTCCTGTGTTTCCGACAAGCTATTCAGGATGTGTTTGAGGTCAAACCTAGTTCTAAACAAGCTGCCATGGCTTTGACCTCTTCCAGTGACTTTCCACAAGCAAATGGGGCCATTAAGTGATTAATGATAGGGTCGGATAACTCTGTTTTTGTAATACATCGAGATGTACAAGTATCCAATTATCAGGGTGTGCATGGCTAAGCAAGGATGAATCTTCTGGGTTCCAAATGGATAGCATGAGGTGTTGAATTAATTGTTAATTAAGTGCTTTATCCATTGTGTATTTATAATGATGGGGATAAATAATGATGTAAATTAAAGATATTAAAAAGGAATATTGATGCAGAGTGCTCTGTATCCATTGTGTATTTATAATGATGGGGATAAATAATAATGTAAATTAAAGATACTAATAAGGAATATTGATGCAGAGTGTTTTATTGGCACTATGTGAAAATACAGACAATATCTGAGTTTTCCTTAATGGGTAAGTGATTACAATATATATGAAATGTTTTCGGCCTCATGTAACCTCAGTATCTCACCTGCCCAAAGGACAAGTGAGTAATGTCATGGTGCTGCATCCTTTGTTTGTCCATCTTTGTCATCTACCTGTTTGGTGTTAACTTTTTGGATGCAAAGCTTTCCAGTTTGTTCAAATGCATAAACTTGACCTACTTTGAAGTTCACAGGGTTTAAATTTGTTGTAATCTTTTAAAAACTTTTTCTCAGTTACAAAGATGCATATGATTGTGGTAAAGTTTGTTATGATATTCTGAATAACCAAGTAGATGATTGGTTTTGCCTATAACATATGATAAAGAACAAATACTGAGGTTGGGATGAGTGTGAAAGTTACCAGAATACACAACACAATTAATGTCTTCTGTTTGTAAGATACAGAACTGGTAAGAGTTAAGGCCCTATAGACCTTTTGTTTTGAATGAGTAGTTTTGATGGTAGATAGCCCCAGTCATATAAAGTCATCTTGTACAAGCGTTTGTGGTTTAAGAGATGTACAGGTCATGTGACTCTATTTTGTATGAGTGGATTTGTTAAGGAGATGTCCAGGTCATGTGACTCTATTTTGTATGAGTGGATTTGTTAAGCAGATATCCAGGTCATGTGACTGTTTTGTATGAGTGGATTTGTTAAGCAGATGTCCAGGTCATGTGACCCTATTTTGTATTGAGTGTATTCATTGTAAGAATTTTCCTTAGTGGATATTTTCACACCTCTGACAGTATATACCCTGCAAAAATCTGTGTTAGATTTTTTCTTTCTAAGCCAGTCTGTCTGTCACCTTCATCTGACATCTGGTGCCATATTTAACATGCTTACACATTTGTTGTGCTAGAGAAAGTTAACAGTGCCTAAATTATTGTTAATTGGCATGCTTTGATGTGAATAACTTAATCCAAATGGCACTCAAGTGAAAACTTTCCAAAGTATACTGAGTAAAGACTGTGCAGTGGATGTATTGATTTGATGCCTTATGAAATGGTTTAGATATCAACAGATTACAAACCTATGTTGCTGTTATCACTTTTATTTTCAAGTCCTTGTAGGTACATTTAACAGTACGGGTTATCGTGAGACCAGTTTATTACAAAGTATATTAAAGTCTTAGCAACATAAATTGGTATAAGATCTTGAGGTGTAATACAACCTCAGATTTTGATGAGTAATTTTTTCTTTCTCCAATAACTTTTAGACTCACACAGGTGAATTTATTTCTGGAATTTTTACATGTATAGTCTTCATTACTTGTATTAATTTTAAGAAGTTATATTTAGATCCATTTCTCAGAAATCATTATATCATGACAGCCATATTTGGTATTTAGTTAGACCTTAGGGCATACTGCATTTAGGACCAAAATAGATATACACTGTCAAAACAAACAATGTCATTTGATGTTTAAACCTGTTGTTTAATCATATTTTTTTCCATATTTTCAAGTCTTAAGTGAATTTAGTGAGTGAAAGATGAGACATTGATTTTGCAAATTTGATGTAATGATCCATCTCTTTACGACATTCATAGTCATATGTATAACAAAGGCAAACAATATTATGCACTGTTGAAATACAGTGCGTTGAATCCTGTCATAGAAAGCTGAGTTCATATTCACTATGAATGCCATATGAAGATTGTTTAATGCTGATAGCTTGTGTTATACACCTTAGGCAGAAATGATTTGTAGGGCCTTATCAATGTTACTTTCATGTAAAGTCACAGCTGTGGTGATGTAAATATAAGGCTATGAATGCCATTGTGTGATTGTCTTATCCCCTCATGACGTACTGGGTATGACATAGAATTTGATTAACAAAACTATTAAGGTTTACCACTGTTAATGAGAACAAATGATTATAGATTTAAAATTCAATTGAATCAATTGAACAGGGTTTCCTTAAATGCAAAATCTAACCAGTTTAATTCATGATAGCATGAATGTTCAAAATGCTTGAGTCAGCTGTTATTTATGTATCTTTTTATACCTATGTTAAAAGTACTTCTATTTCTGGTGATTCTGATCAGAGACATGTGTCTGTGCCTGCTGTTTGTGTGGAATTATTGAGTGATCTGTCACTCAATGTGGTTGATCAATCAATCAATAATTTGTGATATTTTGTTTAAAAAGATTTACCTTGGAAAACATATTAACATTATAATGCACAGATGTTGGGTCTTTGTATGGGGCTACATAATGTACATAATTTGATATGATTATATCAAAGCAAGCTTTAAAAAGATAATATTTTTTTCTTTTTCTCACAGAGATATGAATAAATGCTTAAAACTATAAATATTTCCTATGTTTATTTTATTTCATTAAGGAGACAATGACTATACAGTGGATTTTATCTACATATCAACATTTAACATGGCCATATGCTTTACGTGCATGTAGACATTGTTATGTTTTAATCGTATTTGTTACCCCATTTGTGATATGCTATTTCCTTCTGTGACATGAAGTTGGGTGTATTTGATGTGTGTTTGTATATCTATTGGTGTTATTGTTGTCTATCTGTTGTCATTTGGAAACTTTGCATTGCCTTCTTGGATTGACCACGATTTAGATAGGAAGAAGGGATTGGATGATGTCTATGAAGCAGAAAACACTTAAGCTTCCAGAACACATGGTCTTATTCTCGAGGAATTTTTCAAGTCTCCATGAAAATCTTTCTTTTGCTATTATTTAGTTTTAAGTGAGCTTACGCCATGGTACATGGCTTTTCGATCCATCCAGTGCCAACTTTTCCCTTCAAACAACTTCTCAAATACAAAGAGTTCCAGACAGAGTACTGATCCTGGGCTGTAGCATCCTGGGGTGAAGACTGGCGAGTTGTTCAAACCATTGAATGACTTTTTCTCAATAACCAAAAGGCTCAAGGTATTGACTGGTTTTACTGCATACTGAAACAAAGAGCTACTAAGCATGTTCAAATGAATGACCTTGAATAGGCTTACAATTTTGAAGAAATTAACAAAGACAACATCTTGGTGTCAGAATAGGTGGGTGATTCAGGTCCATTGGACTGCTTGTTCTGTTGTTCCAATATGCCATGATAAATGATATTCACCATACTTATCTAGAAATAAGCCCAGATATGGTATTACCTAATGAACCTTTGGTTTGTAAGCAATGTGGGCTTATTACAGGATAAAACAGTACATCTAACTAAAGAATATGTCATCTTCAAGATCATAGGTCGTGCTGAAGGATAATGAGTTGCTGAGTCTCTGATACTGTATCATGTTGTATCTACTAACCAAGTATATGACCTAGAAAATGGACAAGATCAGGTGTAGTTGTATGTTGGTCTGACAATATGTGTCCTGCTCATTACAAACATTCCACGATTTAAAATGACAATCTTGACTACTATTTGACCAGTTATTTTTAGACATGTGGCAACTTCTGTTTGTTTGTAATCACATTTGTTTCATTATATCAATACATAGTTAATCAGTTGATATAGAAAATTTGACCTTGACTTCTGACCTTGTGATCTCTGTTCAGTTAGTCATTAGGGTACGGCCGACCGCCCGTGACACTGTGTATTGGACATTTTAAGCTACGTTGCCACTGCAATGTAACTGACCGCCCGTGTATTGGACATCTTAAGCTACGTTGTCACTGTGGTACGACTGACCGCTCATGAATCGGACATCTTAAGCTATGTTGTCACTGCAATGTAACAGACCGTCCGTGTATTGGACATCTTAAGCTACGTTGTCACTGCAATGTAACTGACCGTCCGTGTATTGGACATCTTAAGCTACGTTGTCACTGCAATGTAACTGACCGCCCGTGTATTGGACATCTTAAGCTATGTTGTCACTGCAATGTAACAGACCGCCCATGTATTGGACATCTAAAGCTACGTTGTCACTGCAATGTAACTGACCGTCCGTGTATTGGACATCTTAAGCTACGTTGTCATTGGGGTGTAACTGACCATCCATGTATTGGACATCTAAAGTCTCGTTGTCATTGGGGTGTAACCGACCGCCCGTATATTGGATCTAAAGCTACGTTGTCATTGCAATGTAACTGACCGCCCGTGTATTGGACATCTTAAGCTACGTTGTCACTGTGGTACGACTGACCGCTCATGAATCGGACATCAAAAGTTAGGATGTCATTGGGGTGTAACCGATCGCCCGTGTATTGGACATCTTAAGCTACGTTGTCACTGCAATGTAACTGACCGTTCGTGTATTGGACATCTTAAGCTACGTTGTCACTGCAATGTAACTGACCGTACGTGTATTGGACATCTTAAGCTACGTTGTCACTGCAATGTAACTGACCGCCCGTGTATTGGACATCTTAAGCTATGTTGTCACTGCAATGTAACAGACCGCCCATGTATTGGACATCTAAAGCTACGTTGTCACTGCAATGTAACTGACCGTCCGTGTATTGGACATCTTAAGCTACGTTGTCATTGGGGTGTAACTGACCATCCATGTATTGGACATCTAAAGTCACGTTGTCATTGGGGTGTAACCGACCGCCCGTATATTGGATCTAAAGCTACGTTGTCATTGCAATGTAACAGACCGCCCATGTATTGGACATCTAAAGCTACGTTGTCACTGCAATGTAACTGACCGTCCGTGTATTGGACATCTTAAGCTACGTTGTCATTGGGGTGTAAATGACCATCCATGTATTGGACATCTAAAGTCACGTTGTCATTGGGGTGTAACCGACCGCCCGTATATTGGATCTAAAGCTACGTTGTCATTGCAATGTAACTGACCGCCCGTGTATTGGACATCTAAAGCTATGTTGTCACTGTGGTACGACTGACCGCTCATGAATCGGACATCAAAAGTTAGGTTGTCATTGGGGTGTAACCGACCGCCCGTGTATTGGACATCTTCAGCTACGTTGTCATTGGGGTGTAACTGACCATCCATGTATTGGACATCTAAAGTCACGTTGTCATTGGGGTGTAACCGACCACCCGTATATTGGATCTAAAGCTACGTTGTCATTGCAATGTAACTGACCGCCCGTGTATTGGACATCTAAAGCTATGTTGTCACTGTGGTACGACTGACCGCTCATGAATCGGACATCAAAAGTTAGGTTGTCATTGGGGTGTAACCGACCGCCCGTGTATTGGACATCTTAAGCTACGTTGTCACTGTGAACCATTATAAGAATTAATCTTGAACTGAACTTTAAATGAACTATCATAGAGTTGAGCTGACCTTTGAGTTTTGCATGGACCTTTAAATATTGCATCATATTGTTACATAAACCCTGTGGTCAATATACCCTTATATACTAAACAAAAAAAAAAAGAAAGGTAACACTACTTTATTCTGTGATCAATTAATTAACCCCTTCATAAATCCTTACCAATCATGTACGAATAAAGTAATTGATCAATTCTGATAAAAATGCAGTCATGGTTCATTATAAAACTTTGCGTTCAGTTGATTTTATTCGACTGTAAAGGACGTTGGAGTCAATTTCAAAGGTAACACCATTAGTTTGCGAAGTGAACAGCATTGCAGCGTCGTCGCATGGAACTCGTTAACCGGCGGATAATTCGAGGAGAGATGTTGTTCCATTCAGCTTGGGCCAGCTCCTGCAAGTTTGACGGCTGATTTTGACGTTCTCTCACGCGTCGCTCAAGAACGTCCCAGACATACTCAATCGGTGACAAATCATGTGATTTAGATGGCCAATCTAACATCTGTACGTTATTTGCTACAAGAAAGTTCTGCTGACGCGACTGGTGTGCGCTGGTGCGTTATCCTGTTGAAAAATGGCGCCAACGCCATGGCATCTTAAGAATGGCAGAACCACTGGTCTTAAAATTTCGTCCCGATATCGAATGCCGGTTAAATTGCCATTTAACACAACAAGCCTGGTACGAGTCCCCCAACAAATACCACCCCAGACCATTACACTTCTGCCGCCAAAGCGGTCCCGTTCTGCGACATAGCAGTTCGCAAAACGCTCCCCTCGTCGCCTCCACACTCTGCGCCTTCCGTCACCGTGTTGCAGACAAAACCTGGACTCATCTGAAAACAGAACATTGTTCCATTGTCGTAAGGCCCAACGACGGTGAACACGGGTCCAGTTACGCCGATTATTACGGTGACGTCGCAACAAATGCGGTCCAGTGTAGGGACGCCGCGCTTTCAATTGGTAGGCCCTCAACCTGTTGCGGACTGTTTGGGGAGACACACGACGCCCAAACAGTGTCCTTGTAGTCTCTACTGTGGTTACGAATCGATTGCCAAGTGTATCAATCGTATACGACGGTCATCCCTGACGGTCGTTTTACGGGGTCGGCCGCTTCGGGGACGGTCGGATGTTGACCAAGTTTGGCTTAAACGACTTACCAACTGGCAAATTGTCTTAACATTGCAACCAAAATGCCGTGCAACTCGACGGCGAGACTCCCCAGCCTGGATCATGCCTACAGCCCTTTCTCTCTGTACTTGTGTCAGCCGGGGCATAATGATAAAGTTGATAGATAGCAAGATTCGGTAACTTCTAAGTCCTAAGGATCTAAGGAACAGTTGTCAGTTTGAATGTTTATGAAATTCAAGCGAAGATACAAGTTAGTCGCAGAAAACCTCGTGCAGCTCTTTCGCTAATACAGACTTTCACGCTTGAATGATTTTGGTAACCCCCTTGGATTTTGTAATGTGAAACATTACCATTTTCTAATATTGCACAAAGGTCATTTTGTTTTCACTCATTTACAGGTATTCGCCAAGGAAACATGTTTACCTTTCTTTTTTTGTTGAGTATATCTCAAACATCAACGTGATAGAAATGCTTGTCGGTTACGTAGAGTTTAATACCATTAAGTAATTCTTCTGGTCAATTGTATTCATCTGTTAAGATGTTGAATAATATAGGACCGATGTATAAATTCGACAGAGAGCTTGGTCACTCTCAGTCGATACTTGGGGTTGTTACTCAACAGTATACACCCTACACTACATTAATAAAACAACATGAACACCCTACATCGCAGTTTGGATTGTCATTGCCTGAAACATTAACAACTACAAAATCTTCATCTACACTACAAGAGGACATAATAGCTACGTTGTCACTGCAATGTAACTGACCGTCCGTGTATTGGACATCTTAAGCTACGTTGTCACTGCAATGTAACTGACCGTCCGTGTATTGGACATCTTAAGCTACGTTGCCACTGCAATGTAACTGACCGTCCGAGTATTGGACATCTTAAGCTACGTTGTCACTGCAATGTAACTGACCGCCCGTGAATTGGACATCTTAAGCTACGTTGTCAC